ATATAGCGCGTAAAAGGAGGAAAATCATGCCAAGCGGAGTTGTTGCAGAAAAACAATCGGTGGTATACGACGACGACAGCCTCCAAAGACACATTGCTGCTGAGGCTCGGCGAGATGAAGGACAGATTCTGCCTTCGCCCAGCAACACTTGGGCCGTGCAAGAATCTAAGTCTAGGCGTGGCGCTGCGAAGAGTCAAGCGGGAGCACGAGGTAGTCCCAACAAAGGCGCGAGTGAGACTTCGAGATTTTTCAAAAACTCTACACTGGACCCTGAGCGCATTGGAATTGATGCTACAGCCGTAAACCGGACCAAAGGCCGCTTAGTTGCTCGAAAGCAGTCCAAGGGACTTGACAGGGCCAATGTCATCTCTCACAGAGTGCAGAAGACCAATACAGACCCCGCTAAGACTACTGCGTGGCCAACGACACCGGATACGGTGTTGGCTAAATTCGGTCTACAAGAAGCAACCAACGTTCCTAGAAGCCCTTATACCTCGAGCAAATCTGTCTGCCAACCAACGACGCCTCCGAGGCCTACCAGTGCCGCAGACGGGGCTACTACCCCGCGTCAACGAGAGCTGTGGAACAGACTGCTCGTAGACGATGCACAGACAAGGAGTCCCTCTAGTCTCAACCTCCCTAGTCTCATACTCACAGAGAAAAATCCCGAAGGCTCGCGTGGACATGCAGAAGGACGCAAAGTTTCCTTGGGACTCCGTCAACAGTCTGCGCTCAAGGCTCGGCCTAGAAAGATCGTCGACACTCTGCATCGATCAGACCATGATCAGGACCACTTCTATAACGAGTTTGATGAGATGCGTGGGAGTAGTAGCAGTGTCAATAAGTCCGAGTCCAATTATTCCGAGTCCGCCGCAGATGGCGCCATCACGGTGCAAACATCCCCAAGCGCAGAAGGCCGGGGCCTGGTCAGCCAATTCCAAGATCGTTCTTCCAATTCTCCTCAGGCCATACCTTCACTTTATGGAGGAGGCCTTAAGATTACATATGCTCGCCAAAGGTCTTACCTAACAGACAATGACTTGGCAGAGGCTGCAATGATCGGCTTGCCAATTCCGCCGCAACCTAACGACAGAACACGGTACGGACGAAGAGGGCTCGGAGACCGAGCTCCCAAATTGCAGTCCATGCAAAGCCTTGACGAGGATTTCGGGGACCTTGTAGACTCGCAAGGTGGGACTATGAGGAGTATCCATGAACTACGTGAGGCTGGTGGCAACGTTCGCCTGGTCAGCGAGCTGGAAGCTATCTTGGATGACATTGGCGACCACCAACCTGGCTATACCTCTGTCAGGCGTAGCAGATTGATCGACTTGGTCACTAAGCTTGAAGAGCCTGCCAATTGCCGCCTGTTCGTTGATCAAGGATTGGAAAGTCGCCTAATGGCTGACGTTGGCTTGAGCAATGACTTGATAACTAACGGCCTCTTGGTTGCAGCATTTCTCCAGCTCATGACCTGTTCGTCATCGACTTTATTGTTAACGCAGGTCGGTAAAGTTCGGGTAGTGAGATTTTTTGTTGAGCTCCTGGGATCTGACCAGGATATTCTTTCCTATGCCGGACTGCGTGGAAACAACGTGTCCAAGGTGGTCCAGGCTGATCTACAGAACCTTTGCTCTGCCTTGCTGAAATCCACAGTCTGGAGGGCGGGTAAACCGTCAGTGCTCTCATGCCACGTGCTGTCGCTCCAGTGTCTTGAATATCTTGTGCGTCAAACAAGAGAAGCGGGATCTTTGTCCGAGGTACTTTCAGCACATGCGATCAGGCGCGTAGTCGCTACATCGGTGCCACCTTTTTCGACGCTGCCACCACAACCAGGTAAAATCTCAGTCATCTGCCTCGAGCTTGCAGTTTCCATACTTGAATCATGTACCATCAGTAACGCGGCTGAATGTCAGGCGTCCTTGTGGGCAGGCGAAACGCTCGAGCGCGTTATCGGTCTTCTACCGCTACTGGCTCTGTGGAAAGGAGAAGAGTGCGGAACGTCGCGAACACTGACGCTTCGGCTATACCTCAATCTCACCAACAATAGCCCTGGTCTATGCGAGGACTTCTCAAACCCTGAGGTGATTAGCGTGATGTTTGGAATTGTAATTTCACACTTCGAAAAGCTGGCAGACAGCACGCTTGAAATCGACAAAGCACTTCTGTTGGACGACTTGATACTTTCTCTAGGCTCTTTGATCAACCTCGCCGATTTATCTAAAATAGCACGGCAGTTGGTGATGGATCTACGCCATGGGAGCCAAAGCTACTTGGACATCCTATTACAGCTCTTCATGAATAAGTCCAAAAACGCGGCCGAAGTAAGAATCCCTTCCGCTACAACACAATTAGTGGCCCTGACTCGAATAGGTTTCCTCTTTGGAAGAGACTAGCTCCAATGTTGCTTTCGGGTGGGTGTCAGTGCTACTCGGCTGGCTGTGCCTCGACCCAGCAATCAAAGCGCGAATAGACAGCCGCCTTCCGGGAAATAGCCTGAAGCAGCTGCTGGACGCAATAGATGAATTTCTGCAGTATCACAGAAGAATTGACCAAGTAATAATTCGAGCTGATGGTGAAGGTGACGCAAGGGCTAGCTTTGTTGGCCGCTTGCAGAGCCATGTGGACAACCTGAAAAAAATTGAAGGCATTTCTGGGACTTTGTAAGAGGTTGCAGGCAAATGAACTGCATAGGGATTGCATGACGTACAGTTGTGTAGGGACGAGGACATGACGGTTGTACATATAGGTGCAGATTCATGGATAAAGTAGTAATATGGCGAGTCAGCGAGCTTATTTTAGCACTGTCAGGACCAAAGAGTACTGGCGCTCTAAGCACCTCCACATTATAGACTGTGTACTCTGTAGGTTGTTCTTGCTTTGTGTGGTGAAGCTCCAGCAGGGCCCGTGCTCCTTCCCAACCACGCGACATGAGAGACGCCATGCGCATTTAAATCACGCAGTCTAGGAACCTACTTTGATTAGCCTTTGATTCCAGTGATCCGATTCCTTCACTCGCAAGTCCGAGAGCCAGCGATGAAGCTTGTGTAAATGATCGTATTTCCCCTCGCCTACGAAAGGTGCTGTGAATGATATCCTGGACTGTCTGGGAGCAGCAACAAAGTTAGGTCTACGATTAGGTTTGGATTGCATTCTTTTCAAAGTTGCACTACCACGTAATTGTTGTAGTAATTACTGTCCCTCCTTGAAAGCATATCCTTGCCTCCCAACCCCTTCCCGTCCTGGACGTTGTCTCTTCCCTCTTCCCAAGAAAAGGAAGCAGTCCTTGCCACAATGCCAACCTCTCCAAAACAGCGCAAGATGGCCGTCGTTGGCAGCCGCTCTGTTGGTAAGTCATTCCTGCAGAACGTCGGCGTCACCAGCGTGCTCAGACATTCATGGTGCTAGGCAAATCCTCGCTCACAGTGCAGTTCGTTGATGGACACTTCGTGGATAGCTACTATCCCACTATCGAGAACACATTCAGCAAGGTCATCAAGTACCGCAGTCAAGACTTTGCGACGGAGATCGTCGACACCGCTGGTCAAGTAAGCGCTCATCTTGTCATGCCAGGATTCCAAATCTCCAGATTCCCAAAATGGCCAGCTGCAGCGATCGACTATTCTAACTTCTCACGTGATACTTCTAGGATGAGTACAGCATACTCAATTCGAAACACTTCATAGGCATTCATGGCTACATGCTGGTCTACTCTGTCGCTTCAAGGCAATCATTTGAGATGATCCGAATACTAAGGGACAAAATACTCAATCACCTGGCAAGCATTCTAGCCCGAAGCCTCCACCACTCTCACATATCTGTCTGACTTGTTCATAGGGTGCAGATTGGGTTCCATTGGTCATCGTAGGAAACAAGAGCGACCTGAAAGCCGACCAACGCCATGTCCAAGCGGAGGAAGGCAAAAAATTAGCAGAAGAGTTCAGCTGCAGCTTCACGGAAGCTAGCGCACGGTTAAACACCAACGTGGGGAAAGCATTCGAGCAAATGGTTGCCGAGATGGAGAAGTCACAGAATCCGGGCGAGCCAACCGGGGGAAGCAAGTGCAGCGTTATGTAGACGGGGTCAGCGTTGTGATGGACGGAGTAAGCGTTGGGTGTCGAAAATGAGGCGTTGATGGCATAGATCTGGCACGACGAGTGTATCGGAATGCGAGCTAAGAGGGATTCCATTGGATAACGTTCGTGAGGTGTACGATATAGGATACATAGAAACATTGATTAGAGAAGCGTTAGCTATCTAGTGCGAAGACTGGCCGGGCGCAACGACTAGATATTTCTTGCCTCCCAAGTCCTTTGCAAGAAGCAATTTTCACGACCAAGATTACAAGTCGCTCGGAAGCCTCCGATCTCGTTGTGCACATTCTGACCTTTCCCCGCAAAAACAATTGGCCTTTATGTGGCAGGGATGACATGGAACGAGCCGTCACCACCGTTAAGCTAGATTAGCGTGACTCTGGCTTCAGGGTTCAGGCAGTTGTTTTTCGCGGCAAATAAGCCAATAAAAAGCCCGGACCGTACGGTGGTGGTGGTGGCGGCGGCATCTTTTGCATCCTGCAAGACTGCAAGGCTGCCTGCCACGCGCAGCCGGCAGCATTGGTGGCATTACTTTAAGAATCGCTGGAAAGCTTACTTACTTAAGTAGCACCCACTCCTTCCACCCTGTCCGCCTGACCTTTTTCTTTGATGACTACGATGACGATATGATCCATCGTGCTTGCCTCGGCCACATCTCACTACCTACTTTACCTACTTTACCCTTGTTCAACCTGACGAATTACTCCTTATCATTACTGATATTATCATGATCACGATACTTCAATTCGCCTTTCGGAATTTCGCAGTCAGTAGGCATGTTTGCCAATAAGTTAACACTCGTGTCATCGTTTCAAAATCATAGAAAACAAGAGAGCTGGTTTTCTAACTGTCTGACATCCTACACAATTATTCTCGTTCTATGCTGTTCTTTCTTTATTTGCCAACATGAATACAGGAGAGCTTGTAGACTGCCCGTTTTGTGGTTTCACTGATCATGATCACTACTTCCTTCTACAGCACGTTGAGACCGTACATCCTGAAGGCGGCCGCCCTTCTCCTTTCGCTGCCAGAGAGGATCTCGCACACCGAGTTGAGCCTCCCGCCGAAGAAACGGAAGGCGCGAGCGACATTTCCTCTGAGTACATCGAATGCCAGTGTGGCGAATTCTGTCTTTTCACCGAATTCGAAAGCCACTTGGAGATGCACTATGCCGAAGGCATGGGCGTCGACGAGACCTCAAAGACCCAAGCTAATGTAGCCGCGCCAGGATCCACTCTTGATCCCGGCAAAGCCCCGTCCCCTCAAATGGACTTTCCTTCACCTACTTCTCTCCATATTGTACCATCTGGCCCGAGTCGACCCATTCCAACCAGATCCGTGGTAGACCGTTCTCACTGTAGCACAGGCCGGAAGAGTGGTAACGCTGTTCGAGATTTCATTGATGCCTTATGCCATTCAACATCGCCGCCATCCAGGAAGTCTTCTCAAGCAACTTGCAATAGATTCCCTCGAAGACTAGGTGTACGTGGCAGCAGTAACCGTTTGTGTAAACATTTTTGCTAACGATTCAAACAGAGAGCTGAGTTGGGCCCTCATGCTCACGAAGAACAAATGCCAGATTGGCTACGCAAGGAGCTTGAGATTGGCGCAAAAGTTAAGGTTACCAATCAGATTACCCCGGATGGCCGACTGTTGCGAATAGAGAATGTTGCCAACGAAGTTCGAGGCGTCATCTCAGTCATCGCGCAACTCTGTGAGCAGGATCCTGCCGTCTCCAGGGCCTATCTTTGCCATTCTGACGTCATGCATGTCGTCAAGTTGGCCAAAGAAGGTGGATTCTGTGGCTATCGAAATATACAGATGATGATATCTTACATCCAGGACGCGCGATCAGAGGGTCATCGACATTTTCAAGGGAGACTTCCCTCCATCATTCAAATTCAAGACATGATTGAAAGTGCATGGGATCGAGGTTTCAATTCACTCGGTAGAATCGAGACGGGCGGTATTCGAGGAACGAGGAAATATATCGGCACACCGGAGGTGAGCTCCCACAGACGCTGCTACGACGCTTTACTAAGTTCTACCAGGCTCAAGCGCTACTACAGAATTTAGGCATTGGGTAGGCGGCTTCACTACGTCCTATCTGCTTTCGATCTCGCTGATTGGCCGTGTAGATGCTCGGCGGATGCCTTTAATGAGGGCCAAGAGCTACCAACTCATGAGCGTCTGCTAGAAGCCGTTGAGCGGTACTTTCTTGCATCGTGTCCATCACCAACTTCGTCCCATAAAGTTTTCCGAACGTCACTGCCTCCTATATATTTTCAACACCCAGGTATTTTCCAAATGAAACAAATGTCGATCTACATGTTAGCTGCTGATTCACTGTGCCTAGGCCATTCAATGACAATCGTGGGCTTCGAGAGGCGGAATAACGGATCTTGCAATTTGCTAGTCCTTGACCCAATGTTCAAGCCGTCTCCAGGCGTCAGCCGTTTCATCGGAGTCCAATTTCGCACGGCAGCACCTGAAAAACTACTTAAGGCCTATCGCAGAGGCTCATCCTATCTCCGCAAGTACTCAACATTTGAGATCTTGAAGTAGGTCACAAGGTCATTGGTACGAGCACAATATTGATCGTGAGGACAGGCTAGCATCACGTGCACCGGAAAGAGCAGGATGGCGCGGCTTATGAGTTGACAACGAATGCTTCGCACGAAGTTCTTTATTTCGAATCGCTGCAGGTTCTTTCTTTTACATTTGTGGTTTTTTCAAACGAATAACGCTACACGCATTGATTGGCAAAGCATAGCGAGGCAAGCTGTCATCACGGCGTTGAGGAGTAGATGACACCACACTGGGTGTGCACATATATTCCACTCGGCAGACATACTGTACTGCTAGGGTCTTTACATCATTATACCACCAAATCAGCGCTTACAGGTCGGCCTCCTTTGAAACATGTTTGGGCAAATGACCATGTGAGATGATAATCCGACGAAGGTTACCTATTTCGTTTTAGAAAGATCCCTTGGCCGAAGTCTGGCCCTGATGTCTGCTGAAGGTAGAGAGACTATGGCAGAAGTCCTTTGCCTTGGCACGATCCATCCTCGGGAGTCCACCGGCTCCATGTCCCAGAGTACCAAGATGGCCGCCACAAAAGCCATCACTTGTTGTTCAGCGAAAACGCGCCCAGGGCAGGCAAATTCGCCTGAACCCCAAGGTTGAAGGGTCCCTCGAACAAGAGTACGTTGCCCTTGCACGCTTTCGCTCGAGCTAAGGAATCTACCGGGCTGGAAAGAATTTGGAGACTCATAGTAATGGGGATCATGCTGGTGCGCGTCTGACAGGCTTGCCGCAGAGTCTCCGGCTTCCAATACAAATGATTGCGGTCGTTCACCATTAACTGATCGACTATCTTCAGGTGACTCGAGAATCGAAAGGTCTTTCTGCACGGTTCCCATCGATACTGGCTTGGAGTGGAGGCGTAAGCATTCATAGAGACATGCTTTAAGCAGAGGGCACGACTGCACCAAGCCGGCATCGTTGATCTCGAGACGGACGGGTTCAGGAAGTCCGAAGACTTGGGAAGGCTGCGAGGCTTTTGCGAAAGGATGAACCTCATCACGCAGTTTTTGAATCAATTCCGGGTTTGAATACACTTGTACTAAAATCCAAACTTGATGATTCCGGAGTCAGCATTACTCCTTCGGGAGAAATTCTGAATCGCGAGACATGTCTTAGGAGCAGAGATTTTTGAGACATGTCTGACGACTCATAAGACAGCATGATCGGGGGAGAATTGCCTGGAAATTATAACTTACAGATCAGATTGGTTGTCTTGGTGCCCATCCTACATCCAAATTAGCTGCGAATGGTGCAGTCCCTAGCAATGACTCTACCCACGCCCAGAGAAGACTCAGATCGGAAGGATCTCTAACGTCTCGAGGTGTACCATATCTTCACCATTTCGGAGTCAGTGTAGCCATTTCAAGACTAGTTTTGAGTTACGAAGGCATGTCGGAGGAGCTTTAAAACAGAGTAATCGACCTTTTGCTCACGCAAGTTGTTTTGACACTCAGAAGCAAGGGAAAAAATCGCTCCGAAAGGGTGCTTACGCATTCCATATCGCGTGTCTTCCTTTCAACATCGCGCTCACATCGTCCAGATCTCTCCACGGCTGATTGGCTTCATTACCTGCTGCAAGCTGGTCCAGCGCCCCGTGCAATGAACTTATCGCGCCAAGCAATTTTCTGCGAGCGATATGCGCCTTAGTCAAGGATGGAATCGGAAGCCAGCGTGGCAAGCCTAGGACAAAGTATTTGAAACCATCTCCAAGGTCTTGAATGTCCTCCAAGATCTCTGGATAATTTTCCAGAAATTCTCTCCCAACAAGCGGTGGTAGTGCGACATTTCCTACGAAAGTCCTGATCAAGGCAAAGAGACTGATCTCGACGCTTGAAGCATCTCCGGTAATACTGTCAGTGTGAATGATGGGAGCGGCAGCCCGCTCCCATGGATTTTGGTCCACGATGCTGTCGCTGAACGAGACCAGGTTGGGCCCATGTTCCCGTATCCCGTGAACTGTGGCGCGCAACATTTCCGAGGGATTAGACAACAGTTGGTCCAGCAAGCAAGCGTGGGCATCGCCGTGGGCTCTTAAGTGCTCTTGTTTATGCCTTTTGTTTGCACCAAAGACGTTGACGAGCAAGAACCAGCGCACAGAGTCAGAGCTGATAGCGGTACTATGACCCTCAAAGAGAGATCGGGTTAGTGATGGGGTGAAGATCATGTGATACTTGGAGCCGAAGATTTTTAGTGAGAAGATTCCGGGAGGTGATCGTTGGCTGCAGCTGGATTAACAGTCATTTGCCAGGAAAAGGTGTCCTCAAACGCACCAACATTTTTGTAGAAAACGGTCGAGATTGATGGTCAAAGGCAGCAAGTGACCGAAATAGGGGAACCAGTATGGAAGCGTGGCAACTTTGCGCCCGTCCCAACTGGTGCCATTAGGAGACAAGTCCGACTTGTAGTTCCTACCGCTGATGAATCGAGTAGAGCAGGCAATGGTTGCAAGTAGAAGGAAAACTTGGAGAGTAATTGTAGTAGGCGAGATGCTTTCTATAGTAGACACCAACTTGGCAAACATGGCGATGAAGGTAAAATATCCTGGGCGCCTAAGCCTGGGAAGAAACGGGCCAAATTAAATGGACTCTCTGGAGCATGAAGAGCCTCAGGATGGGTTTTCACGTTTTACCAATTACTTTTCGACTGAAGCTCGGAGTGATTCAGGTAATGTATTCAGCAGATTAGATGCATAGCAATGGCATAGCTTCTCCCTTTTTCAAGGACTTAGATCAGGCCAGGTCACATGTGAAATCAATTAGATCAAGTAAATCTAGTACGAATAGACAAAGCAATGCGGCCACGACTAGTTGAAGAATATCAAGGCGAGGCGGCAACGTTGTTTGCTTGGCGATATCAGCTTCGGCAAGCCTTACTTGTAACGTATCTTTTCTGTGCACACCACAGATATGCCCAGTACACAACCCAATATCATAATTACGGGTACGCCTGGAGTGGGCAAGACAAGCCACTGTGAAGTCCTGGCTGCCAACACTGGACTGAAGCACCTATCTATCAACCAAGTTGTCAGAGACCGTGGCTGCCATGATGGCTGGGATGAAGAATACAGAAGCTGGATCGTCGACGAGGACAAGGTTCGCCTAATATCGACTCCAGAGATGCCGGAGCTGACGAGCATGCCAGCTGCTCGACTCCTTAGAAGATGAACTTGCCCAGGGAGGCCACATAATCGACTGGCATGCCTGCGACCTTTTTCCCAAACGTTGGATTGACCTCGTTGTGGTGCTACGGACGGACTCTACGAAGCTGTACGATAGGCTGAAAGCAAGAAACTACCTGGAGCAGAAGCTGCAAGACAATCTGGACTCGGAGATTATGGAGGTGCTGTTGGATGAAGCTCGAGAATCATACGATGAGGAAATCGTGGTAGAGCTTCGGAGTGATGAGGCTGACGATATTGAGGTCAATGTGGGAAGGATTAAGACTTGGATCAAGAATTGGAGGCAAGATCAAGTTCAGGATGCAGCTTGAGCTCGATGCTGCACGATAGAGGCGTAACGGATCTATACGGACGTTACTACTGAGCCTGCAGCCATCGCTTGAGCTTTGACAAGGCGATGGCTCGATGAGACACCATGTTCTTCTTCGCTTTGTCCATCTCGGCATAAGTCTCGCCATCGTACTCGAAGATCGGGTCCCAGCCTGCACCAGTCAGTCTAAGCCACTCAGAAACGGCCACGCCCCCCAAGGCTAAAGTACCAAAATTAGTCGGACCCCGAGCGGCTACTATCGTTCCCTTTGCACGGTTTAGTGGTGATTCGAGCTAGAGACGATTTGCAGCTCACAGTGACTCGTCCCTCGAAAATGATGGGCTCATGGCCAGGTCCCGAGCAGTAGGCAAAGGTGCAGACGGCTTGGGCGCTCTTGTCTTTGTATGCCATGAGGAGATTGTTTAAGCCTTCATGGCCAAGCGCTTGAAGGAACCATTTGCTATGAGAGAAGGCCTCACTTAACGTCCCTGCTTTATGTTGCAAGTGATGTAAAATACGTACATGTAGGGACCCGGCAGCTCTTTCAATGCATTAAAGCAGAGACATGTATCCTCTGTCAAAACCGGTCCTCCTATCTTCCAATCTTTAGCACAATGAAACGTTGAAACGTCGTTGAAACGTAGCCGTGGATAGTATCGAAAAGCCTACAATTGCAGCAGCTCTCTGGCATTTGTCCTTTGATATGTCTTGGATAGTGCCTTGGATTTCGGTCAAGTCTAGAGACTGGCTCTGTAGAGGCACAATGTCACCCAGGATAGCTTTGACCTCAACAAGCTTATTTGTGTTGCCGGTAATGAAATTGAGATGTCCAAGTGGCATTGTTGCCTAAGGCAAAGCTCAAAGCGCAGTCAAATAGAAGAGTTGATATGGTGCACTGTGGCGAGCTGGCCAATTCCACCTTAAGGATCTGTGCACTACTGCGTCGCTCTCTACGAGTAATTGGCACTATATTGGTGCTCGGGACTGGCCCACATCTTGGTCCGATTTTA